TAAACAAAAAATTTAAATAATTTTTTTAATTTTAATTTTTTAAATAAAAGTATATTTCAATACGAACAATTTAAGAGGTCATAAACTAAAATCCGTTAAGAAGAAGCAGAGATATATATTTTTCAAAAAAAAAGTACAAACAAATTAAAAATCCAATATGTCCGCCAATTTTTGAAATTTTTTAAAATCGCTTGGGGATTTTATTTAATACCACCAGAGGATATAATCTACCCAATTTCAACCGAATCCCAAAACCTAATAAAATTTTTTGTGTTGAACTGACGTGGAATACACCTATTTCTAAATAATTTTCATTATCGATTGTTAAGATGTTGATTACTCGAGTGTGTATTTACCAATTAATATCATTAAGCTTTTGTATACAGTGTTATAATGCTTACACAATGTGTTTGTGTAACTCTAGGTTTATTTAAGCATAAATAATGAGGTCGCACATATAGTGTAGCGTTAAATAATTCACAGTATATACTCTAGCCAGAAACTCTGATTACCGTACAATACTTTTTGAATATGAAAATTTTATTTAATTTTTATCTTATATACTTTTTTTTGCTTTTTTTAAACTTATTTTTTCAATATAGAATTTATTTTTCTATTTTATCGCATATTTTGAGGGGGAAAAAGGATATTTCAGAATTATCGTAACACTTCATTTTCCAGTAGCAAGAAGATCTCGTAAAAATTAATAAATGTTATAGAGTCATTAGCGAACTAAATGTCTTTTACGAGCTTATACATTTTAATTAACGATCTCTCTGAAAACCACTGATTCGTAATTTCACTTGTTTCAAGAGTGGGTCAACCCCATTTTATACGTACAATTTTGTTTTTTGTTTCAATTTCAATTTTTGTAAAAAAGCAGCTGGAGTACAAATATATTTGTATTTTTTTACTTTGTTCACTTTTTTATTTTTTTAGTTCTTTTATTTTTGTTGTTTGCTGCTTATTAATTTTTTGAACTTTCTTTATTTTTTTATTTCTTTATATTTTTTTGAGTTTAATGAAAAGAAGGGTAAATTTTTCTTTGAGAGAAAATTTCCATTAAATTTATAAATTTAAGTTTTAGAGAAACAAAAAGGCAGTTAATTTAAATCTATTGGTTTTTTTCGCTTGAATTGTCGTCTAGTGAGAAGATGGAACTATTCAAGTGTGAAATCCAACCACTTTTGAAAACGCACTCAAGGAAATCGAATTTTTCTTTACAAACAAATCCCCTTCTTCAGTGATCGAATGACTCTTGGTAAAAATTTCCAAGACATCGATTTTTTCTGATTTTACATTCAATTTCATTATTGTGGTTTTTAACTTTTATAAAACTGAATTTTTTTCTAGTTTCAATGTAGAAAACTTTTTTATCTCCCTCTTTATAAAAATAGTTTTTTTTCTAATTCTTTTACTTTTCTTTTGAGTTTTTTTGTGTTTTTAACATTTTCAGAATAATTATTAAATCATCTAATTATTACTAAATTATTATTTAAAAAAGGGGCTCAAAAATAAAAAAATAAAATCAGAAGAAAAATGGGGAAAAACGAGAAAAAATTTTTTGAGCATTTTCTGTCTTTAGTTACTAAACATATAAAAGGAACAAAAATTTTGTCTTTTTAATTTTTTATTATTCACTTTCTAAAATGATTAAAATTTAAAGTTAAAAAAGTAGAAGTGAACAGAAGGAAAAATATTTTTAAAAAATAATGAAAGCAAACATTTATTTTTTTTATTTTTAAAACTTTTGAAAACAATTATAGAAAATACGAAAACGATAAATTAAAAAACGGAAAGAAATATTAAAAAACTATAATAGAATAAAAAACATGGATAAAAATAAGAGGAAAAGATAATTTAACAGAAAAGGACATAAAAAAACAAAAAAAAGGAAAAATAGAAAAAAATATTACAAGAAAAAATATAAAAAGAGGAAAAGGAAAATAATTAATATTGCAGAATAAAAAAACAAATTCAAACATTTTTGTCTATAAACGTAAATATCGAAGTACATTTTCAGTTCACATAAATGACATACATATATCAAAGAGAAAGTAAAGTCACTTGTGAAAAAGAGCCATAAAATTGAATGATTGACTTCGAAACGAAGAATTGAAGAGGAAGAAAAGATCATAAGCGTCAGAAAAGTGACATGATGAATCGACAAAGTTTAACCTAAGGAAAAATTTTTAAATAATTGAGATTATCATTTCAGCAAAAAGTGATAAATTATTTTTTATTGCTTGTTTAATTTCATTACATCGTAATTTCGATTGTACTTAAAATTTACCAAAATGAAATTGAAATGAAAATTGGAAAATTAAAACAAAACTCTAATAAAACGGAAAGAAAATTAAAAAGAAATTACAAATAAAAATATATAAAAATGAAATTTATAGGTATAAAAGTAAAATTTATAAAAACAATTTTTACAATTAATTTATAATAATATAATTTCTAACAAAAATTTGTAGAAAACATTTTTTAAATTATACCTATTTCTAAAAATAAAATTTGTAAAAATTAAAATGTAAATTAGATTGAAGGCCTGGATGCTATAGGTATGTTAGAAGGGGTGTTCTACATTACCGACCGAGTTTTAGTACCTGCTGCCACCGCTAGATAGCGCCACTTAATTTATGTTCAACTTAAAACCCGTTGGTGGGGTATTTGAATTTTTTTCAAAGTTTAAAGTGGCTTAGAAGGGGTGTTCTACCTTACTGACCTTGATGATAATACTGATATAAAAATGTCGATAAATTATCGACTGCATATAAGTTATCGACCGATGGCAAACATAACTATCAGTCGGCAATGCAGATTTCTTCCACAAATTTTGGTTCGGTTGGTATGTCAGGGTTCTGCATTACCGACAGTTGGTCTTATTTGAATATGATAACTTCAAGTTATCCCAGTAGTTGGCGTTTGCAATATTGTGGTAGGAGAGTTGCGACTATGGAGTAGTGGGGGTCTACCGGAGTGGGGTGGTAAGTATAGTGGGGACTGGTGTATAAGTTGCGGAGCGCGAGCCAGGAGCATCAGTGGCTTCTTTTCAGCAGCATACAGTTCAGATAGAGTCGTCTTCAGTGTTTGCAGAGTGCTTTTCATAATTATTTTTTATTTTTTAGCAATTTCAGGTTTTTAGGTGCTTTTTTTGTTTTTTGGTGGTGGATTTTCTTTTACAGGGTTTTTTATTTTTATTTTATTCCTTTTATTCTTTTAGCTTTAGGTTTTTGATATTTTTATTTTAGTTTTATTCCTTTTATTCCTTTAGCTTTAGGTTTTTTTATTTTTATTTTAGTTTTATTTCTTTTTTTTATACTTAGGTTTTTAGGTTAAGGTTTAACATGTCGAAGATCAAATCAGTGAAAAAAAAATCGCGACATCGAATGAGTGTGGATGAGTACAACGAATTGTGTCGTGAGTCAGACAACTTAATCAACATCGCTGAACGTCAACTTATTACCACAATGGGAATGACAGGTGAGGATAAACTTATTAGTGCATTCGAATGGCAAAACAAGTGTCAACATAACAAAAATATTTTGCAATCATTTTTAAGAAATTCTGATTCTTTGCCTTATCAGAAATCAAGATGTTTAAACCTAACTCAAAAGTTGGAATACTTGTTTTGCAATTTTAATGCTTTAATGAAACGTGGTGCAGGTGTACAAATGGAGAATGAAAGAATGAAGTGGGTTGATTTTGATAAGGCATTTGATGGTCGTTTACAGACTAGTGCTATTTTAAATATTGACTACATTGATGTTAATGAGTTTCTTGATGATGCCTTTGTTTTGTTTGAATTTAACGTACGAAAAGCTTTAGATAAATATGGGCCGCTAAAAGTGTATACTGTGTTGGGCGCGAAATTTATAAAAGAGTCGATAAACGGAAAGGAAGAAATGTCTGATCTTAAGACATTTATCGCGAAAATGGGTGAAATATTTTTAACAACCCACTTAGATGAGTGGTACAATGGTAATGTCAAACAAATAACTTTGAAAAGAATGTAAGAATTACAACAGAAAGAATCAAATTGGAGACTTCATTCTATTCAAAGGTTAGAGGTTAACATTAACAGTTATAATCCCATGCATGCTGGTTCATATATCGATTTACCACCTCCCATTAAAAGAAAACAGGCTTGCATTAATGTTCAGAATGCTGATCAGCAATGCTTTAAATGGTCAATTTTGTCAGCTTTACATCCAGTTGAAAACCATGCAGACCGAGTTTCGAAATATAAGTGTTATGAAGATGAGCTTAATTTCACTGGAATTGAGTTTCCTGTTGCTCTCAAAGATGTTTCAAAATTTGAGGAACAGAACAACATTTCAGTGAATGTGTATGGACTCATAAAAAAAGATGAAAAGTTTACGGTTGCTCCATTACATTTGTCATCGCAAAAGAAGGTTATTCATGTAAATCTTCTTCGAGTTGAAGACCACTACATTGATAAAAATCTTAAGAGTGAGGAGGAAGAGGAGGAGGACGATCAAAAAATCATCTCTTTCAACTACCATTATGTGTACATTAAAGATTTATCCAGACTTGTCAGCACTCAATTGTCAGGTCATAGGGGTAAAAAATACATCTGTGATCGTTGCCTTCATTATTCTTACGATGAACTGAAGCTAAGTGAACATGCAGAAATCTGTCAAAAGATAAATGTTACGAGTATTAAGCTTCCTGAACCAGGGAAAAATTTCGTTGAATTTAAAAATTATCAAAACAAGGAACGTGTGCCATTCATCATTTATGCAGACTGTGAAAGTATCCTGATTCCTGCGGAAGCACCACAGCAACCTAGTAATACTGAGATTTTTCAAAATCACAAAACTCTCAGTATTGAATATTATTTAAAGTGTAGTTTTGACGAGTCGTTGTCCACATATAAAGCATCTCCAAGAGATGAAGAAAATCCGGCTAAATGGTTTTCAACTGAATTAAAGAATGTGGTTGACAATCTTGACAATTTATAGATATTTATAGATATGCCGGTACATGTCATATTTGTAGGAATAAAATCAAGCCTGGGGATGTAAAAGTACGAGACCACTGTCATCTAACAGGGAAGTATCGGGGACCCGCGCATCAAGATTGCAATATTAATTATCATGAATCGCAAATAATACCTGTTGTTTTTCATAACCTTAGCGGGTATGACGCCCATTTTATTATCGAAGCTATTGCTACAGAATTTGAGGGTAATGTTTATTTGCTTCCTATTAATAAAGAAAAGTATATCAGTTTCACGAAAAGCGTAAAAGGTAGTTACATCAAGTTCCGCTTTATCGATTCTTTTAAATTCATGGCATCATCATTGGACAAGTTAGCATCCTACCTCGACGAATATAAAATTGTAAACACAGTTTTTTCCAATTACAGTGCTGATAAAATCAAATTGTTAACGCGAAAAGGAGTTTTTCCTTACGAGTACACGGAGAGAAATCTGCTACTAATATTACTCGAAAGAGCACATTACTTAAATTGCTTAACGTTTCTCTTATATTTTTCGCATGGATTCATATACTTATTGTAAAAATACTTTCAATGCAATAAGCATAAGAGACGGTAGCTAATTTTGCACGAAATCTTTATTATAAATACAAAGAGAACGTGCTATAAAAGTATTAGATTCTTCTTATAAGAATCGCTCGAACTCTGACTGATTTTCAGGCGGACTTTATACAACACAATCTTACCTGTGTATACGCACATATAACTCACACACACATATATTTCTCTGGACAGTTTTGTCGTCCTGTAAAACATTATATATTATATGTAGTATTTAATACTTGTTGCTGTTATAAAAAGATAATATTTATTTAATAGTAAGTATATTATTTAAAAATTATTGCATTTTTATTCGTGTTTGAACATATAAGCAACATGTGAAAATTGTTAGGTTATGTTATTGCAAACGTCACCGCTTTGTACGCGTTCCGTTCCTCGAAACCATCCAGAGAAATATATGTGTGTGTGAGTTATATGTGCGTACACGCAAGTAAGATTGTGTTGTATAAAGTCCGCCTGAAAATCAGTCGGAGTTCGAGCGATTCTTATAAAAAGAATCTAATACTTTTATAGCACGTTCTCTTTATATTTATAATAAAGATTTCGTGCAAAATTAGCAGCTGCTTTTTGTTTTTATTGCATCGAACTCTCCATTCCATTAAATAGATGATTTCGTATATAAATTATTATAACCTCAAGCTAAAGTTCTATTCAGCAGTGACTAATAAAATTTGTAAAGATTCTGCAAGCAATAATAGCAACAGATTTCTCTCCGTGTATATTGACTCAAAGGAAAAACTTGATAAAATTGGATTACCACCAAAAGAAAAATGTTATAGCACATTAAACGACTCGAATGTCTCTGATGAGGATTATGCACATGCGCAAAATGTTTGGACTGAGTTTGATTGTCAAAATTTGGGTGATTATGTGTACCTGTATATGCAAACCGATATTTTGTTACTCGCGGACATTTTTGAAAATTTTAGAAATCAATGTTTAATCGCGTACGGTCTCGATCCAGCCCATTACTACACGACACCTGGATTGACATGGGATGCCATGTTAAAGTATACGAAAATAAGATTGGAGCTCCTTACTGACATCGATATGGTAATGTTTGTCGAACGTGGAATTAGAGGTGGAGTAAGTCAATGCACCAATCGGTACGCTAAAGCTAATAATTCTTATATGGAGGAATATAATGAAAGTGAGGGGACATCTCATATCGTATACTTTGATGCTAATAACCTCTACGGTTGGGCAATGATCCAGTCAATTCCCTATGGTGGCTTCGAGTGGATAGAAAATTTTGACAATAGCTTTGATTTCAACGTCTCTGATGACGAGGTGATTGGCTATATTTTAGAAGTTGATTTGGATTACCCCGATAATTTGCATGATAAGCATAGTGATTTTCCGTTTTGCCCTGAACGCTCGAAGCCACCTGGATCTAAAGAGGAAAAGCTCCTAACTACCCTCCTATCAAAGAGAAAGCACGTTCTCCATTATCGCGCGTTAAAACAAGCTTTGGCGAATGGTCTTGTATCAGTAAAAATTCATCGTGTATTGAAATTTAAACAATCCACGTGGTTAAAATCATATATTGATTTTAATACAACTGGAAGAACAAGTGCAAGCAATGAATTTGAAAAGAATTTATTTAAATTAATGAACAACGCGGTATTTGGTAAGACAATGGAGAACGTGCGAAAACATGTCGATATTAAACTCGTTACAAAGTGGGAGGGTAGATATGGAGCTGAAGCTTTAATCGCGAAACCTAACTTCCACAGCAGAACCATTTTTAATCCGAATTTGGTTGCCGTGGAACTTAGAAAAATGGAGGTAAACAAGCCACTTTATGTGGGTTTAACAGTCTTGGATGTTTCAAAAACGTTAATCTATGATTTCCATTATGATTACATGTTAAAAAAAATATGACGCGAAAAATTTAAAACTATTGTGCACCGACACTTATAGTCTCATCTACGAAATCAGATGCTCCGTCATTTATGCAGACATGAAAGCAGATATTGATAAATTCGATACGTCAGATTATCCGGTTAATAACGTGTACGGTATTCCGCAAGCCAACAAAAAAGTTTTAGGATTAATGAAAGATGAGTGCAGTGGAAAAATCGTGACTGAATTTGTTGGCTTGCGGAGCAAGATGTAGAGTGTGCGAGTTGAAAACAAAGATTTTATAAAAGAGGCTAAAGGTGTGAAAGCTGTAGTTGTTAAGAAGAACATAGACTTTGATGATTATGTGTATTGTTTACAAAATGTAAAAATTCAATCTAGAATGCAATATTGTATCAGATCAAACCTTTACAATGTTCAGACTTTAAAACAAACAAAAATTGCTCTGAGTCCTTTCGATGATAAAAGATTTTTGTTAGCCAAAAGTACCGACACTCTAGCATGGGGGTATTGTAAAATTGCAAAAATTATGGAAGATGATGAAGCATTATAAAAAAAAGAGAGAGGGAGGAATTGATTGTTTGAATAAAAGATGTTCATTTTATTTTATGTCTTTTTTATTCAATAAAACCTTAATCTAGTTACATTTATTCAATAACATTACTTAAACTTGTTTTAACTTTGCTTAAACTTATTTTAAAGTTACTTTAACAATACTTTAACTTATTTTAACGTTACTGTAACTTATTTTAACTTTATTTTAACGTTAATTTAACTATATTACATATCAGATTTTTTATCCAACTATTGTGCGAGCTATCAAATCCAAGACATTTTACATAGACATCATTACCACGAGTTTTCAGGACTTTCTTAACAAGGTAAACATCTGGATACTGGACTTTTAGCAGTTCTTCCTCATAAAAACCACCTTCGATGGGTTGATTTTGGTAATCTTTCAGCTTGTATGTAACTGGTTTTGTCGATTTGACTTGGTCCACAGTGAATATTTCCGTTGTCCAGTTGGGAGTATATCCTTTTTCGAAAATATTTTTAAATTTGCTGACTCGAACTCTATCTCCTCTTCTGAATTTTAATTTTTTCAGCGGAATTTTTCGAAGTTTACGGATACGTCTCAGCAGTTTTCTTGTATCTTCTACAGTAACACCTTTGGGTTTCATACCAATAGTACGATGCTTTTTATTATTGTACTTTGATATGAGCGTAGGTAAAAGATATATCCATTTGTAATTGCCTTGTAAGCTGAATTTAGGCCACATCATATTTTTCAGAGTGCGGTTAAATCTTTCAACAATTGAGGCTTTAAAATTACTATAGGTAGAATAGAGATTAATGTTAAATTCTTGCATTAAACTCTTAAATTCAGAATTGTAAAATTCTTTGCCTCTATCAGTGTGCAAATTTTTTGGAATTCTACCTTGTTTTAGAATAGTTTTCATGGCTAGAGAAATGTCCTTTCCATTCTTACTCTTTACAGCTACAGCCCAGGCATATTTGGAAAATATGTCTATAACTGTGAGCATGTATTTGAAACCTTTATTAGAATAAGAATAAGGTATCATTTTAACCAAATCTGCTTGCCAGGTTTCATCGATGCCACGCATTTGAACTTTTCGACGAAAATAATTTTTTCTAGCCTGTCTATGCAACTCTTTAACAACAGTTAACTTTTCATTGTCCATTTTCAAGGTTTGTTAAACGTGAATCCAATTTAGCGATATATTTAGCGTTTTGAAAAGGTAATTCAAGTTGTAAATCAGTTTCAATCTGCTTAAGTTTTTCGTTAATTCTTTCCTCGATAGATTGTATAAGAATATTCAAGTCATCAATAGCTGATCTTGAAGATGATGTAACTGCAAAGACAGTTTTTATTTCGTTTTTAACAATTTGTTTTACTTGTCTTAAATTTACTGCGTCGTGTTGCTCTTCAGCGTCTTGCACGTTGCAAAGTCTTTTGTTATCAATATCGTATTGTCCATTTGGAGTAATTTTAAAACAAATTCCAGAAGGTCCAGGTTGTCCACGACCTGCAGTAGGTCGTGACAAAGGATGTCCAAACACATCAATGCTCATTTTAATACTAAGCTTTGTTTGCTTGAACTCTTCTAATATATAATGCGAGCTTTACGTAGTTCTTCAATAATTGACATAATTTCATTATTGTGGCTCGGATTTCCAGCTTGCTGCGATGCTACTAGCAGACGTAATCTGTCAACTAGTTCATTAGGATCATCCCAATAAATGTAGTCTGGGTTAAATTGTTTCTTTGTAATCATAAATTGAGGTAATTTATTTCCAAGCTTCTTCTTCTTCTTCCCTTTAAAAATACCTCTACCCTTTTTTGGTGTACTCTTAAAAAGTTTTGCAATGATATCAATGTATTTAGAACTCTTATTTATGTTGACAGGTTCACTGGAACTATAATTTTTTCGATGTGCATTTGTAGCTACAAGAATTTCTTTATAATTTTCTAAATCATCTGGACTTATTAATTCTTGTTTAGCTCTTTGTTTAAATAAGAGTTCAATCAACCCAGTAGTTTTTAAATATTTTTTCTTTCCAGCAAGTCGAATATGAGGACCTTCTAAATCAACTGGTGTATCTCCAATCATAAAAGTACCATTAGGCAGCTTACGTACTCCATAAACCATGTCTAAAAAAGTTTTTCTGTTTTTATTCAATAATGTAATAAATTTATTTGTCAAATTTTCATAATTAAGATCTTCATCTAATGCTTTTTCAAAATTAGTACTCTTATCAAATAGAGTGTCATTGAGTAGTGTTTTATCAAATTCCTCCTCATCATCAACTGCAGTAGAGAAAGAAAAATCATTTTCCTCTTTTTTTACTTTTTCTTTCTTAACATTTTTGAAAGGTATGTCAGTTACTTTAACCAACTTTTCAAGAGGTGTTACTATAGGTTAAAGAGTTTCTTTTAAAACTGTTTCTGCAGCCTCTTTACCCATTTTGAGGAAACGATGTTTTCGCCTAATAGCATAACTAGCTTTCGCTATTTGACAAAGTGTTTCTTGCTCTTTTCTATACATGTTTTCTTAGTGACAATATAAACTATACTAATTAAAAATTTAATAAAGTTCTTATATTTATAGTGTAATGAAGCAATCAAATCCTCTTCTATATCTTCCCTCATTAAAATTACGGTCCTTATCAATAACAACAAATCCGTATTTGGCCGATTTCCAACATTCTGAACATAAATCGCGAAATTGAGTATAACTCATATCAGTATTAACATGATCTTCATAAACATGTTTCAGATTCTTTTCATCTTGTCTGAATAGAACCAATAAATTTACATTATCTCGAACTAGATGTTTTGGAATACGAGCCTACGTTTGACACAAGTAGAAACTGTCAACGTTTACATGTCTACCCATAAAAAAGAAAGCTCTAACATTATCTTGTTTTTCGCAAGCAATGTCATCAAAAATGAATATTGAATTTGGTTTACCACAATTTGAGAGACCACAGAAAACAGCTCGAATGCTGCCTGAAAACAGACTACCATGATGTTTAATCTTTTTTTCGTTTGTTTCTATATCTATACTAGTTATTGGCAGCATGACAGGTTGTTTCGTGAACTGCATCTTGATTTATACATTTTAGGGTAGTTACTACTACCCTAAAATGTATAAATACCTAGCTTATATAGTAATTTTGTCAGTTTCACGACAACCATTGTAGAGTGAAGAATGATTCTGCATAAAGAGGTAAAAAAGAACGCTATTAAGGAAAAGGTTTAATCAATCGTATAATCAATAGTTTACCGTGAGAGTTACATTTGCCAGGTTACCAATTCTGTGGGCCTGGTACAAAGTTAGCAAAGCGTTTGTCTCGAGGTAGTTAGACGCTGCTTGTAAGCAACACGAAATTGCATATTCGCAAAATCGAGAAAATATTCAAGCTAGAAACGAAGCAGATAAAATATTAGCTAAGAAAGCGTGGGAACGTGTTACAGCTAAAAATTCTAGTGTGAGTGAACGAGCAGCTGCTTTAGCTATTTCCGGAACCATGAAAACTAAATCTAAATTAGGTATGGGGATGAAAAGAAGGAGAAAATCGTCCATAAGAAAGAAAAAAAGAAAAACAATATGTAAGAAGAAAAGAATAGCACTAAGGAAAATTGTCGATGCTGCGCGAAAAAGTATGGTTCCCAGTAATAATGCTGAAGAATCAATTAGAGCAGCTATGATTGGTGCACGACAAGCAATAAAAAATGTTGGTGGTAAATCTAAAATTTTATCACCTCGAATTCTTCCTGTACCTACTAAAGTAGGTGGAATTCTACCGCTTGTTCCAATTTTTTCTGGACTTAGTGCTTTAGGAGCCCTTGCTGGAGGAGCTTCAGGAATAGCAAGGGCTGTTAATAAGGCTAAAAAAGCCAGTGAACAGCTTTCAGAAGCTCAGCGTCACAATAAAACAATGGAAGCTATATCGCTTGGAAAAGGATTACACTTTAAACCTTATCGGCAAGGACTTGGTCTCCATCTTAAACCTTACACTCAAGGAAAGGGAATTAAAAAACGAAAGAAACGAGCACCGAGAAAGAAAAAACGAGCATCAAGGAAGAAGAGAATAACAAGAAGGAAAAAAAACTTGTTTTGAAGCTACCTCATCGTCCATTAACTGATTTTGATTTGTTGAAGTATGCCAGAACTATAAAAATACCTTATTTTCGCGGTGTTTTTATGCGAAATAAACTACCTATTAGTGGTCCTCACAAGTGTGAATCAGGAATAATTAATCTTGATAATAAACAAGGTGCTGGAACACATTGGGTAGCATATAAAAAATTTAGAAATGAAACAATGTATTTTGATAGTTTTGGTAACCTAGCTCCTCCAACAGATCTTGTCATTTATCTAGGTGATGGTAGCTTAATAAAATATAATCATGAAAGATTTCAAAATTATAATACATTTGTGTGTGGGCACTTGTGTCTTAAATTTTTATGTAATCAACTAAATATTAAGAGTAGCTTTAACCTGTATAAAAGTGTGTAACTATTGTAAGCTTTCAGTATAAAATCTGATAGCAAGATGAGTGATTCATTTACTTTAACGTTAACGGGAAATTCTCCAGTTCTTGAAGCTGAATATCGATAGAGAAAATAATAAGTTTTACATTGGAAATCAAATAATTCATATTGCAACTGTAAGTTATGAAATTAAAGACATTGAATCTTATATACAAAATTCTGTAGAAATCGGAATTGTCATTAGTATAAAACCGAATAATAATACATTGCGCAGTGTAGTTAAATCAAATTTGCCAATTGATTTTAAACCTATTGACTCGATTGGTAAATTTTTGGGATTTACATCGCAGCATCTAGCACCTCATAGAGCACATACTTCTGATTTACCTGTAGCAATTCTAAAGGTCAATTCAGTTAGAATTGAGTGCAATATAACATCTGGAGCATACATAAATAATCAAAAAGTCCACACTATACATGAATTCTTCCCTAGCGTTCCACCAGGATATAAGATTGTGGAAGTGCCTGCACACGTCATTTATCTTCCGATTTCCACCAAGACAGCTGCGAAATAATATACAGCTGCGAATTGGCGACCAGGATGGTGATTTAATAAATTTTAGAGAAGAAACTATAACTATTCGATTGCATATAAAGTCTTTGTAATGGGAATTGTTTATAATCAAAGAGCTGTTGTTAGTGGAAACTATAAAAGTCAAATCAGTCTAAAGTCATCTTACAAGGTGTTAACACCACAGAATCGTCTCTTTCTTCAAGAACTAGGTCTGAAAGTTCAAGGAAAAAAAACGAAAATAAGACAATCAATATACATATTTTGTGGGTGCTGTTGCAACAAAAATGGACGAACTTCTCAATATTCCAGCAGCAGTGAATTTTGATGAGTCTATAGCTCATTATGAAATTCATGCTCATCAACCGTATGCTTCTTCATCTTTTAACAATAGTGATAAAATTCGAATCGCAGTACAACATCAAGACTTGTGCATTTTACCTAGTAAAAGTTCATTACATATTTTTGGCAGATTAGCTAAAAATGATGGAATTACTCTTACGGAAAACGTGCATTTAAGTAATAATGCTGTATGTTTTTTGTTTGATGAAATTCGCTATGAACTAAATGAAATTGAAATAGATCGATGCAAAAACGTTAGATATACTACAATTATGAAAAATTATGTCTCGCAAACTCCTACACAGTTAAATTTTATTGAAAATGCTGAGTATTCAAGAATGGCAGCTGATGCAAGACTTGTATTGGAAAATGGCTATTTTGATGTCACTATACCACTCAGCATGATTTTTGGTTTTGCCGAAGATTATAAAAAATCGTTATGAACGCTAAACATGAACAAGAGCAAAAATTAACAATTTTAACAAGAGCACGTTCTGACATGAATGCTATATTTCAAACAGGACAAGGAGGTGATGAAGAATTTAAAATTTTCATCAATAAACTTGAATGGATGGTTCCATACGTTCTATTTGCAGATAATAATAAAATAAAACTATTAACATTTATTGAAAAAGATCCATTAATTTCAATAAGCTTCAGATCTTGGGAAATGTATAAATATCCTCTAATTCCTACAAGTTCAAAAGTTTTGTGGCAAATTAAAACATCAACGCAATTAGAGAAACCACGCTATGTTATTGTTGGATTTCAAACAGCGAGAAAAGATAAACGTAAAAAATATGCTTGTCATTTTGATCATTGTAATATTACAAACGTTAAACTCTTTTTAAATTCACAATATTATCTATATGGAAATTTAAATCTAAATTTTGATCAAAATCAGTACTCTCTACTTTATGAAATGTACGCTAATTTTCAATCATCCTATTATGGTAAAGATTCAAAACCTATTTTAACAAAGGATATTTTTAAAAGTCTGTTTCCTCTAATTGTTATTGATTGCTCTAAGCAAAATGAGTTTCTAAAACAAGCGTCAGTTGATGTACGTTTAGAATTTGAAGCAGGAATCAACATGCCGGCTGAAACTACTGCCTATTGCTTAATCATCCATGACCGCGTCATACAATAAAAACCAATCAGCGGCGTTGTCAAGAAACTGCTGTAATGGGGATAATGTAAGGGGGTGATTGGGTATAAAAACAGCTGCTTTCAGTCAGAATTTCAGTTTTGTTTGAACCTCCTTGTGCCTGGAATACATTGCCTGGACGCTACAAAAGTGAAAATCGTTGGTTAACGCATAATTACCATGGAAATGATTGGCCAGCTGGAGATGTTCCATATGATGAACTTCCTTCTCTTCTACAAGGAATACTTAAAGAATGCTCGGACAAAAATTGATCAATTTTGACGTTCGATATATGAAAATTTTTGTTTTTACACGTAGTTTTTGATAAAAATATTAAAAATTTTTTTTTTTAAATTTACCAAAAAAAATTTAAATTTTAAAAATAAAATTTAATTTTTAAGAATGTATGTATCGATCGATTTTTTTCAAAATTTTTTGTGAGAAACTGGTACTAAATTAAGAATTTTTAAGCATAGTCTGATGATGGGCAAACGATGGGATCTATTTGTTTCTGATTTTTCAATTTTTATATTTATAGCTAAAAGTATGAAAAATGAATGAATTATCGTAAGAATGCGATAGAGAAGGACAGACAAAGCTCCTGTCCTCTTCTATCTCATTGTTTTGTTATAAGTTCACGTCTTAAGATTTCATTGTGCGTTGGCCTTTTTCTATTTTACGCGCTGCGTTCATCCGCTACATCTCAAACCTTTAAAATATTTAAACGGTCACGAAATTAAATGTTTTTCTACATATGAATATGCTTTCTCAAAATTACAATAAAGTAATTAATATCCTGAACGTCTTGTAATTCATTTTTCATACTTTTAGCTATAAATATAAAAATTGAAAAATCAGAAACAAATAGATCCCATCGTTTGCCCATCATCAGACTAGGCTTAAAAATTCTTAATTTAGTACCAGTTTCTTACAAAAAATTTTGAAAAAAATCGATCAATACATACATTCTAAAAAATTAAATTTTATTTTTAAAATTTAAAATTTTTTTGGTAAATTTAAAAAAAAAATTTTTTAATATTTTTATCAAAAACTACGTGTAAAAACAAAAATTTTCATATATCGAACGTCAAAATTGATCAATTTTTGTCCGAGTTATAAGCATTTCAGAAAAAAATTTACGTAAAAAACGTGATTTTTCAAAAACCTGTATCTCTTAAACCGCTTAATGAAAAAATTTGAAAAAAATCATGGTAGCTCATTTCAACGAGCACTAAAAGAAAAAAAATATTTGAAAAAAATCGGAGATGCAAAAGTCAAAAGGTGTCCGACTTGGCGTGGAATGCCCCTATAGATTATTTTATATCAAGGACAAAAAGAAATATTATATTACTATTATTATTGATGTTGTTATGATGAAAAAAATTAATGCTCTAATGTTGTAATTAATTATATACTTACAAATAAGGTTAGAAAATGTTCCTTTCACCGTGCGAGCTGAAATCTGAATGACTCTATAAAGCCTGTCTCTTTCTCCGTCAGAGCTCCCTTCTTACTCGAGTCCGCCTATCTTCTCTCTTTGCGCGAGCTCCCTCCTAACTCGAGTCCCGCCTATCTTCCCCCTCCATACTTGTATCCTCCATGTTGAATACAATTTAAATCTAAAAAGTTTACAACTTAACTCAAAAAGCGTGTGCTAAAAAATTGTTTAAACACTGCTAAATTGTAAAAATACAAGCAAACATTTACTGACATTTTTTTTCATGCAGGACCAAAAAAAACACTAAACACTGTTTTACAAACATGAATAAACAGACAAAAATTTATTTTTCATGCGGAAAAAAATAAAGCGTGTACAATAAAAATATATTAAAACTACTATATACACAATAATAATTTTTCTGAAGAAATCGAGTCTTTTTTTTGCTACTCTGTAGCTTGACTAATTACACTTTAAAGAAACAGACAAACAAAACGTTAACTAAACGAAAACTTTGGTACTCTTCGAGTAAAATAAAAAAAATGTGAACTTAAAACTTATTTTTCGTGCGGAAAAAAATAAGCGTGTACATTAAAAAAAAAATTAAAACTACTATATACACAATAATAATTTTTCTAAAGAAATCGAGTCTTTTTTTTTGTTACTCTGTAGCTTGACTAATTACACTTCAAAGAAACAAACAAACAAAACGTTAACTAAACAAAAACTTTGGTACTCTTCGAGTAAAATAAAAAAAAATGTGAATTAAAAAATAAAACGTGAACTTAAAACTACTTATTCTACACATCTAATGAAAAATTCTTTTTAAATAAAACTTATCTTTGGTCCTCTTCGTCCAGTAAAAATATTTAAAAATCACATTAACTTAACACTGATTATGATTGAGTAAACAAATATTTAAAACTACACAAAAAATTCTTCTTCGAGGCTGAAATACAAACTGAATTCACCCACTCACTCGCCAGGATCCTCTGTAGCATTATGTCCAAATAATTCTTACAATAGTTCTTTGAATTCTACATCCTTAGATGTAGAACTTTGCGAATCTGATTGATTTTCTTCAAATTGCGCTGGAACACACCTCGGCTCATCCCACCGGGTCCAGCGAAATCTTACATATCCTTCTTCTTCACTGTTATTTTTATCCTCTTGAATGATTTCCTCCGCCATTTTGAATAAATCATCTAAAGTATCTGACTCTTGAATGATTGAAGAAGACTCTCTAGAAACTTCAAAATTCGAATATGTCTGCATCAAATACCTCTTCGAGATCGTTGACAATCATGTCGACGACTTTAGGTATGCAACAATTTGACTTCTGGCCTAGAACCTCCTTCCTTGTTGGTACATACACTGATGAATTTTCTTTAAATTGCACTGGAACAAACCTCGACTCATCCCACCGAGTCCAGGGAAATCTCGTCACATTTTGAGGGACATATTCTTCAACTCGAGGTTCAGGCTGCTAAAGAAAAAGATTTTTTATATAAACACTATATTATTTACTTAAAATTTACGCATAAGAAAACTTAAAACATAGTTATATTATGATTAATAATGAGTTAATTATAATAATCACACTATACTTACACTTTTCATTTGGTGTATTCGAGAGTCGTTTGGGAATTGCTTCTTGCAATCACTACACATGCAATACATGCTATCTTTATTTGTTTTGTGCATTATTTTTATTTTTATATTTCTTTTATTATTTTTTAATTATAATCTCACTCAGCAGTCGTTTATTAAAGATGGAGTTAGTTTCTCCAAAGTTCATACATACGAGGGGGAACAGCACCAAGGTGGTAGTAGACCTAGGCGGTAAAATTCAACGACACAGTCTGATTGGTAGTTGCAAAGTGGAAAGATTCTGGTTGACCAATCAGAGTTCGTTAATAGAAAATTTTCTTACTGTTGGGCTCTATCACTATATCGAAATATTTTGAGTATGACGTCAGAGTCGTTTCATATTGTGTCGTCTGTTTGTTTTCCCTTCAGTTTTTTGACGTCATACTCGAAATATTTCGATATAGTGATAGAGCCTAATATCTAGTGAAAAATATAGGTTGGCACACACTTAGAGAAAAAGTTTATTTCACTTAACCAAACTGTTTAATTAACCTATTTTATTTGTTACGATAAAACAATTTCATTGATTTAAATAAAAATTTGGTTCATTCTAATAAATACGTAAAATTTGTTTAGTTATCCGAAAGAAATTTTTTTATTTGAAGGTGTTTGTTTCATTTAAAAAATTAGTGTTTTGAATAGAGAATATTATTTAGTTGAATACAATTTGTTTGACACAACACTTGGTTGATTCAACCAAAATTTGGTTGTTTTAAACAAATTTTTTTCTGAGTGCACAATGGTTTTAAGAAACTCATTAGAGAATGTAAAACATGAAATTTGTGTTTTTTCTTTCGTTTCACGAACATAATTTTGTATTGATTGTTTAATAATAATAATAATAATAATAGTAATAATAATAATAATAATAATTTTTTTTTTCACGGGGGAGAAGAGGAAATGCATTAACGCATGCCCAGGAAGATCCCACTTACCTGGGGTATGTCGGACTCGCACAAAATGCAAGGAAAAAAAAGAAACCTCACATACCTGCTTTTACGGCAGTCACAATACCGACTAAAACCTCTTCTTGATTCCCCTGGGTTTCGAACCTTCTATCCACCTACGGAACTACCTTTCGGCTTCAGACTTCGCAGATGGATGGTCCCATTTAGTCGCTGGCGCGACTCTTCCGTGCCGCTCTTCTTCTGGCCATTATTTTCTCCTTGTTCTTGACAGGGTCTTCTTAGCTTCCTCTAAGGCAGTCC